CACTTTCATTGGATTGTCTGTCGCTTATGCTCGGGGCTTCCAACCGGTGTCCCATTGGCTAACGTCCTATGACCAACGACAGTGTCAACGACGCCAAAACAGCGTTCTTAGCCTAGCTAGCTTGAAAGCACTGCACGCAATTTCGAAATGTGTCACGCGAAAAGCTTGGTACAATGCGCTAACGTGCCTGTAAAATAGTAGAGATGACAAGATCATCAAAGAATTGTGCCCGCATCGACTGCCTAATAAAGCCGCTCAGATCTTGTGCGCTACACCAGATGCCACGTTAGCGCAAGCGGCTGAGGCTGCCGACAGCATCTGGGACCATTGCACCTGCGGGGATCAAGTCGGTGTACTTGACTATAGTAAGGAGTTAGAGCGACGCATCGATTCTATCATCACGGGTGATAAATGTACCATGTCCCGCCCCAAACCGCGCTGCTCATAGCCCCATACGGCCACACGCATCCGATGGCCAGCAAGCGCGAAGGAAAGCCGCTGTTGGTACCCTCGTTGATACGGACCGGAAGCCATGTAGCGTACACCTCGCTGCTCCTTCGCTAAAAAGGAACAAGTAAGCGAACGACCTATATCCGTAACAACTGCTGATGCGGGCCTACACAATCGATTCTTTTTCGTCACTGACGTCAAAACTGGAGTTCGCTAGCCTGTCAATACTGTCGCAGTATTAATCGTTCTCCTACCCGACATGAATGCTGGATTAAACGAAGCGAATATGAACTTGTGCACGACCAATGGGACAACAATCTCCGTTTAAGTGCAACGCTCCCATACAAACAACGTTATTTTGAAGTGATCATTCAAATGGGATTTATTCATGTTTGACGCGTAGTACTCTATACCAGGGATAAATTATTTTAGCATGTCGACCTGCTTGTCGAAGCTAAAAGCCAACGGCTTATAGATCAGACAACGAAATTTTCCGTCGCTGTTATATCCAGTCGCGTGATATCACTCAGCCCGGTGTCCTGTAGCCGTTTCCCGAAGGAAACTGGCAAACGCTGGCTTTCTTTTCATGACTTCTTCAGATCGCTGAAAGGAGATACAGCACATCTGGCCGCGAGTTGCTCGCCGTGTATTCAACTGTTCGTTACTCCCGACGCATCCTGGAGAGTAACAATTCCATGATTTGCACGGATCACACCGTTATTCTACGCTTTCCGTAACCCGTCGCCTCGACACTCTTCACGTGATGCTGGTCATCCAGATTTCAGCTCCTAATTTTCGACGATCGTGTGTCTGGCAAGAACAACGTCGTGGCGGACACGCTCCTAAGAGTAAACGCTACGACGCGCACTACGCTCTACAACTAGCCACGAGTACGCGCCGTAACAAAACGAACGACGTACAGGAACAACATCGTAAATCTTTTGTTCTCCGACATCTCCGACGTTGTCTATTCGTCTTTTTATGCGCAGACGACTGGAACAACGTAAGGAAGGTCCATTCAAAGTTCTCCAACGTAAGGATCGCTTGTTCGTCACCGAGCGCACTGGCAAGTGTAAAACTGCCACCGCTGACCGTCTCAAAGTTGCTTACGTCGAACCGGACTTGCATGACGGCTCCTGTTCTCCGCTCTCCGACGAATCGACGCAACCGATGCTGGAGGATAGATCACATGTGATAACCAATGACCCAACTGGAAACCCACCAACCCAGCTCCCCGCCTCTACCCCGCTTAAGAAGACTACTAGGTCTGGTTGTCGGGTTCGATGGTCTACACGCCTTTTAGAAAGTTAAATTTTTGCTTTTAACAGCCTTTTTAGGTATTTCGATCTAGTATCTTTCACAGAGGAGTAGTAGGGGGAGTTGAATGGCATATGTAGAAATTCGGCACATATAGACTCATTCAGACAGCCGTCATACGTCCGGAAAAGCACTGTACGCGCGTTTCATCCTTTCGGGAATCGTCAACAGTGCGCATTCCATCGGACCCTGGTAGGGTTCGAACCCGCAAGTTGATTGTTGCCAGTCCGTGATTGAGACCACGTACCGTTATCGATCATGCATTGCAATGTTTGGTCTCTATGGTAAGTAACAATCTCGATTCTCCGTACTGGGTCGTCACTGATTACCACAGTCCTGCATTCTCATTTAATTTCACACTCAAAGCATTTGGATGGCTTGTTGAGGAGGAAACCCTTTTGAACCTAGATGTTAACGGATGCTATCCTTGTTACCTATTTTCCGTTTCGACACAGCTAGGGAGGACACGGTGGGAGCCCGATAGGATCCGATCGTATTGGTGCCCGCATCAACATCACTTGGTCTTGCAGAAGGCTGGTCAGTGACCGACAGTCATCATATAAGCCTAAGGGTCATCCACAGTCCCCAATCTAGGAGGTGGGCTGTATAGCAGCCCAACGATTACTTTGTTCGCCTGAGATATGATTGTAAAATGTTTCTAAAATACTTACCTTTACTAAGTACACCGGGAATACAAGGTGTCCGACTTTGTTCGCGTGTATACGGCTGTTTGAATAGCTCGGCACACATTCGCGTCATCCTCAACTTCGAATCTTTCTCACCTTCTTCCTGCGTTGCTGCCGTTTAGAATAGGATCCCTTAGTTAACCTGGTGTATTTGTGCCGCTGTAGCCTTTGCTTAGACACACCGTACGTTGCCTACCTAAATAAATTATCTCAACAAATAAAATCGGTGGTTCTGATTTACCAGCAGAGTTGTGATGATCAGTTGTCTCTATGTTCCGCTTTGGGGGTAACCGTCAAGGTCACTACACACCGAATGCTGAGCCGTCATTGCGTGCTTAGCCAGAGATGAGGTGGGACTCCTGTTCGTCGTTTGATCCACTCCACCTAGTTGTCTCAGCGATTGCCTTACCTACTTTGGGAATTATCTAACCACCGTTTGAGACAGTCGACGATCAGTCCTGCCTATGAAGGCATCGTCACAACTACAAGGGAAATGATGTACGTTATGAGGGGGCCAAACTCTCTAGCGAGCTGCTCTGATGGTTGTAGAGAACAATTCTTCATGTAGTGTGGACAAGTCGTAGCTGGATGGTTGTGTAGACAAGTGTTAGTTCTAATTTATGCTTGTGCTTAATATTGTTTGCAACATGATCACCTTTGAACGACAGGAATAACTAAATATCCTTCTCTGTTGCCGGTTGTATTGATGACTTCGCCTTCGGTAGTCTACTGTGAATCTGAATAAAGTTCTCAGGGTACCCATTGGGCCTCTGTGCCCACCGAAAGCAAGAAGAAGAGGATTGAAAAAGTCTGTAACCACCCGCAAAGCCCGAGGGAACTAAAACCGTGGCGCTGGAGGTAGAGAACAAGGCTTAAGCCCCAACCGGTCCCGCTACTTCGGCGGAAAGTGGCGCAGTGACAGCTTTGGTCAGACCGATCGAACCTGTTGTGGAGTCGAAAACCCGCGGAGCGAATACGCTTCGTCGAAGGAACTCTTTTACAGAAGGCAGCGTTATGTTCCGTAAAGTTGCTGGAACTGCAGTTGCACTTTCCAGGGAAGGAATGCCGGATAACCTCCAGCGATGCAAGCTGTGCGTTACCAGGCTGCTTTCTCCTGGTTTTCCCGATATCACAATCAGGAAGTTGACCAGACTTGAGAAGGTCCCTGCCGATAGGATAAATCTGCGACCCCGGCTGCTTTACGTGGTCCTTTCTACCGCGGATGAAAGCAGAGATCTACTTCGTTTTTTAATAAAACTTTAAGGTAGTAATGTTAGCGTTTAGCCAGATCTTTCACTAACAAACAGGTTAGAGTTGAAGGAGCCTATCAACAAGCTCAAAAACAGGTGAGCCGGTGGTGAAAAAGGCCTGCTTCTCGTGGGTTTTCACGTGGCCAGCCAGTGGTCAATTTCCGCCCTACCAGAACCCATACTGTTGGCACACGATCCGGGGCTAGTTTTACCGAGTTCCTTCAGATAGTACTCAGCAATGTGTGTAACCTAAAGAACAGGATGCACGAGATAGGCAATTAGTAGACAGATGGCGTTTCGAAATAATTGCTCTCAGTGAACTGTGAGTTTCACCATATATCACGGATGGTGAAGTATGTTTATCTGGCTATGCGCTGCTTAGATGTGATTAATCGTTGTGGTGGTATGTCAAAGTCTTGGAAGTAGTTCCAAGGGGGTGATAGAGTTCACTTGGGCTTAAGCTGCCAATTGGTGTCTAATGCAGGGGGACTTCAACCTCTCTGAAGTCTATTGGAATGTTTTATCTTGCAGCTCGGCGACGAGCACCTTCGGTTCGCATCGCCATAGGCTAACGTTATGAGTGCCTTTGCCTCAGTTCGTGGACCTCCAGACTGGGTATATGAACAACCAGCTGCCGTCTACCTTGAAACATGTTTTTGCGGTCACACGATTTCGTAAGTGACCTTGCATACTGCTCACTTCTAGGAGCCAACGACCATGTCTGCAAATCTTTTCGTCGTGCTCTCTCTATTCATCAACAACCTACCGATGAGATATACCCAAATATTTGGCGATTGGACTTTAAGGTAATGAATGTACTTGTATACATGTGAACTTAGCGAAACGTATACTGGTGTCCTCGCTCATGGGCCCTTTCTACCATAGGTTGTGGTGCTATCAAGAATTGCGGATGATTCCTGCATAAATGAACTAACCAAAGCCTTCGGCTAAAAAGCTTGATCGTAAGGGAGCGGGGGTTTGACGCTGTGCTACAGAGCGTCGGTTAAATAGAGTAAGGAAGCAACATGACTACAACCTCCACCCCGTCCCCCCAGAAGACTGAGTTTGACTAGCCTATAACCGTTGACCAATTTGGTATGATCTGTTCTGGAAGTGAAAAAAGCACCACTCAGCTCATCATAATGGATCGCTGAGGTATACAAACCATCACAGTAGGTGAAGGTCCAGCCTGGTCACTCAACCCTAGTTGTTGTTGAGTAGGAACATGGTCTGATATTGATGAAAAAGGTGGGTTAGACATTGGACACAACAGTACACTTCATTCATTTGAACTCACTTTAAACGGTGCGGTGCTGATCATCCGGCAAGTCTGTGGTTCAACAGGCTGTGCCTTCTTCGACCCTGGATGCGGGATGTAATCGTGGTGGTACGTGGTGTCCGAATCCATTTTACACTTGGGCAGTTCGTAGCTAACCATATGGGGTGACGATAGAGTGCGCTTCAAGTTCGCAGGCCATGGCTTGAAATCCACCCGATTAGTCGTGTCCGATTGGAACGGGGCCTCCGAAGATAGCCCGGTGTACGCGGGTTTACAAGACGCACCTGGTTCTGAGCATGGTGATAAGAGAGAAATAACCGTTTTAGTAGTTGTATCTGACAAAATTTGAAGCCCATCAGAAAGATTTCGAAAAGGCACAGTGCTGCGTAAAACTACAAGTAACAGCAGGGACAGACTGAAATAAATCCACAGATGTGGAATGTCACTTTGAAGCTGATCCACTGAGTTGAATCTAACGCCAGCATAAGAGCTCTGTGATATCCAACTACGTCATCACGCATTCGCCTCTGCTAACCACAATCGGAGCAGTGTGATTAAGCGTGTGTGTAAGATGCCCGAACCGAATGAATGATCACGAAACTCACCCCTATCTCAAATGAATAAGCAACTCGATACTTGCACTTTTATGAACTGTCCATCGTTTCATCTGGTTGTCTGAGCGCGTTGCCATTTCTATGCTGACCTTTTAAGCAAACAGTGTTTGAATCTCTGGTCGTTACTTGACTGTCCATCTATGATCTTATGGTAACGGGAAAGTTGGACGTTTGAGTCATTTTATTCATTTGTTTCTATCATGTTACTGGAAAATCTTTACGGAACAACCTGGTCCCTGTGTAACGAATTATCACGACGCAATCCATTAAATGTAGACAGCACATTTGCTAGACAGTCTCATGAGCGTTCGTTATTATGGATAGCCAGGGGGAGTTACAGGGGAAACAAGTGAAGTGGACTTAACTACTTGTATGATCTGAAGAAGAAATTGACAGGGCATCAGTAAGAACATCCATCAGCAATAGCAGTGAGACAATGGCATATTAGATTGGTGTTCCGTTGACATGCGACTATGATGAAATTAGTAACCACAATCAATAGCAGAGTTAAGGGAGTGACCCGGTGTAAAGCCTAAACCCACTAAGCAAACAACCATGCGCAAGGCGCCTTCAGGTTAGAATTAACACATAATCACAAACAGCTGGTTATTGTGCGATAGAGTGACATCGCAAAAGTGTTTCCATGTGGGTTTCATTGCCGCCTCAAGGAGTGCTCTCCGGCTGCTGCTTGGGGGTACATGTACGAAGTAGACAGGCTACAACGAAAGGTACTGCGCTCAAACTTACCTAATGCAACTGCATTATAACACGGATGCTAGAGTGCGGCCGATCCACCTCCTGTCAAGTCACCGGTCGCGAGACATGGGAGATCGAAAGCCTCCAACATGTTGCTGTCAGGCTTATTCCCAATTACGGCGTTTGCCATATGAGGACCGTTGCCAGAGACTAGGGCCACACACCTTGTCCTAAGGTTCGAGTTGACGAAATTATTGCCTATCATGTTTAACAACTTCTCCATGCTGAGGCCGCTACTCTAACTGCGAACATTGCCTCAGGCTCGTCCACCGGTACAAACATGTGTTACTGGATGTGATGTGTTACGCACCACGCGTACTTCAAACTGGGGGTGGTAAATATTTGGAACTGTCCGTCAGGACACGTAATGCATCAGGTCAAAAGCCGCTGGATTTACATTTTGGCACGTTAAGGCGAGGAGATGTTTCATTTGTGAGCCCCGGAGTACAATGAGTCAGGCGTCTTTAAATATGATACTAAAAATTGAAGAAGGATTAGAATTTCGGGTTGAGCCTGCAATGCTGCAACGCGTAGCGCGTCACCCGACCCCAGTGCACTCTGGTGAACTTCAAATCCTTCGAGTAACACTAAACTCAGTAGATCAGACAGAGGCTGTCCTGCTCTCAGCAGTTCATCTTCGCAACTCACCGAGTGGAGTGCGCATATTACCTGATTGCCCAAAAGAAGCAGTTGAACAACGCCGCATTCCTAATAGGGATAGCAAGAAAACAATATTTGTTCATGGGGTGCATGAGCTTCTGCATTCTTCTGATCACGATGCGCAGACACATGACCGAGAGCAGTGGTGCTACATCCGCGAAGCACTCTCTGTTGACAATGTTATTGCCAAATCCTTGACAAGAGTTCCGTCATCACCTAACTACAAGAGCTGCGGTCCAAGATTAATGAAAGTAATATTACACTCCGAGGAAATGACGCAAGTTCTGTTGGATAGCTGGTTGAAGTTTCGAGCTAGGTTGCCAACAGAAATACGGCTAAAGGCAGCAGGAGAACGACCAAAAGTCGGAAGCAATTCAATGGAACTTGCAAACGTAACAAATTTTTTATTTGCACAGTCCTGCGGAGAGACCGACACAACAGCGCCCACGGCACACAGGAGGTCCGAGCACAGCACGAGTGAACCGTCTGTTCAGGAACGCTCAATAATGTCATGCAACACGACTGAAATACATAAACCAAAAACGATTAGTGGCCGGCCACCTAACGGCCGGCTCAAAAACTAAAACAAACTTGACATCTATCAATGACCTCCTAACAACAAAGCCCTATCTTGCATGTACACAAACGCCCAAAGTCTTCTAAGCAAGTTGGCCGGACTTAGAGAACTCCATGCCTCACAACCGCGGGACCTCGTCATGATTACAGAGACATGGTTAAACCCTGAGATAACCGACTCTGAGATCAATTTACCCGGTATGTCGCTGCTTCGAACCGATAGAACCGGAAGGGGTGGCGGTGTGATTCTTTACTATAACACAAACCTCCGATGTGAAGTTATCGATCACCCGGTGATCCGAGCTCCTGATTCGCTTTGGTGCCGCCTATGGTTGCGAAACAAGGGCACATGTCTACTAGCCGTGATTTATCGCCTACCAAACTCAACTTCGGAAATGGATTCCAAACTGAACCACGCTTTCCAGTTTGCTTTGAACAAGTCCTACACTCACATTCTTATCATTGGAGATTTTAACGTGCACGACATAGAAACACCGGCAACCGAAGGTACGCAGTTTAAAGCCTGCTTGCAAGAGTTAATTGCTAGCCACTCTCTGTACAACCACGTAACCTTTCCCAAGAGATTTCGAACTGCCAACAAGCCATCGATGCTGGATCTTGTGCTAAATAACGGAGAACTCATGATTGGGGGGATAGTTACAAGCACACCACTGGGTCGTAGTGACCATGTTACTTTACACTGACTATATATGCTATGCGGAGTATCATGAAAAAGGGGTTGATGAAGTGCATACTGTCGCGCACTACAATGTGTTATCTACGTTTGTTAGGGATATATTTTGGACTTTCTTAACCGAATTCCCCCAGATGCCTGGGAAACATTTACAAGGACGTTTAGCACACTGGTAGCGCACGCATCGGAACAGAAGTCCTTCGAACCCAAAAACATGCATAAGTCTTTTCTGAGGAGCAGAACATGTAAATGTATGTCCCGGAGGGATTTGACATGGCGAGATCACCAGGGCTGCTCGAATGCCGAAACCTGGACTGCATACGTGACATATTGTAAATTATGTGTAAAATTGATCTGAGAAGACAAGGTTACGCAGCAGCAGGAGTTAATGAAGCGATTCTGCACGAACCGCAAACTTCTGTACAGGCACGTTAACGGCCTTCGAAAGGTGAAGCGGAGGATTCCTGCACTAGTCATGGCTAATGGATACACGCGATCAGCAGTGGGAACAGCCGATCTACTACACCTTCATTATTCTCAAACTTTCCAGCAGGTAATGAGCCCAAACATACTCCTCCTTTTATTGCTCCACCGCCGGATTTAGACCACATCACCTTCACTGCGGAAGCTGTGTTGAAGAGGTTGTTATGCTGGCGTATCCACAGTTCTCCTGGAGTCGTCTGCATCCGACCAAAGGCTCTGCAGGCGGTAGCTAGTGATCTAACAGAATCACTGGCTGTTTCCTATCAGTGATGTCTAGAAGTGTACCATATTCCACCAATATGGAAGCGAGGGGTCATCACTCGCTTTCCATAAAGGAGGTAGCCGCACTGACCCTACCAACTACCGTCCAATAATACTAATTCCTGTACTATCCAAAGTTATGGAATCAATCATCGCAGATGCTCTGATGCAGTATTTGGTAAGCCACAACTTAGTAGTCTCAGAGCAACATGGCTTCCGTCAAAAGCGTTCATGTAATACTAACCTATTAATTGCACGTAATAGCTGGACTGAAGGTATTGATGATGGAGCATGAGTCAATATCCATCTGGACTTCTAAAAAGCGTTTGATCGCTTAGACCATGGAATTCTCCTTCAGAAGCTACGGAACTACGGCATTGACGACCCAATGCTGAGTTGGATTAGCACTTTTCTACAAGGGCGACGGCTAGTGGTGAGAGTCTGCGAATCATTGTCTAATGCAATCGATGTGGCGTGTAGAGTACCACAAGGCTCGATTGATGGACCTGTCTATTCTTGGTGTTCATTAACGATTTGGCGAGATCAATTGCTTCCGATTTCCTATTTTTCGCTGATGCTATCAAGATATGGCGAAGGATCAGAGGACCGGACGACCACGAACGGCTCCAGTGCGATCTTAACACAGTGTCGAACTAGTCAGTTCAAAAACGCCCCACCACTCAACGTAGACAAATTTCGCGGTGTACAATTACGCCATGGATATAACTAAACCTATTTGTTTGGGACAAACGGATTGCAGACCAGCTCACAGGAATGTGACCTTGGTGTGCTCGTACAAGGCGACCTCAATTGTTCAAAACAGGCTGAGGTAGCGGCGAAAAGAGGCAACCAGCACGTCGGCATGCTGCGAAGGGCATTCGGGAGATTTGACCCATCAATCTTCCCAATGATGCACAATTCCTACGTGCGCCCACACGTTGAATACGCTATCCAAGCTTGGCAACCTTGGTTGAAGCGCGACCTAGAGGCGTTAGAGGCACCACAACGAAGAGCAACAAAGAATGTAAAGGGCCTGCGCTATCACTCTTACCACCGAAGGCTGAAGTTGCTGGGAATTTTCAGCGGAGGCTATCGAAGGCTGCGCGGCGATCTCATATTAGCGTATCAGATATTGAGTGAACCCAACCACGTATGCCGCCATTTGCTGAAACAGCCACAACACGCAGCTCAGGGGTAACTGCTTAAAATTGAAGGAACAATACGGCCATCTAGAGTGTCGATGGAA